TCGATGTTCGATGTTAACAGGAACTTGTTCTGGGCTGTGGCATTAGAATCATCTTCTGGGCTGGAGATTTAGCTCAGTGGTTCTGCATCCTGCCTTGTAAGCTCAAGGTCCCGAGTTCGATCCCCGATACAGAAAACAAAAAACAAAATCATAATCTTCTGTGGATGTGTGAAGGTTGACATGAGGTGGGGACAGGTACAGTGGCTCCTTAAAGCCAAAACTAATTGTTGTGAGTGCTTCTCTTTTAATTTTGATTGTGTCATCCCCTTGTGGCATCCCTTGGCCTATAAATGCTAAAATTGAGGGAGATCCCAGCCCAAAATGCAGACTTCATAACACAAATGACTCATCACACTGCCCAAAGCATTTTCTAACCAAAAATTCCCTTTAACTACTGCTTTTTACAATGTTCCCTGTTACTTCTGAAGATGGGATCCAAACCCTAAGCTTTTCCTTGCCTGAATTGACCACCTGTTTTCAAATGAGGTTCATGCTCCTTTGGCCTCCATGGAGTAGAAATGCTGTATGTGTTAACAGCTTGACAGTGCCAAGAAAACACATCTTTCCCATATCTCTATGAGTGCAAGCTCCTCTAGGAGTGAACTATAGGGTTGTTTTCCATTCCTACAGAGAGAGCACAAAATCTCTTTCACTGGCATCTGACTGGTAGTAGCTGGTGTGAGGAACCTCATAACAGAGAAAGGAGGCAAGGAGATAGCCTCCCTCAGTGGATTGGATGGAAGAGATTTCACTGTGAAGTAAGGGTTTTTGTTTTTTCATCCTGTACTTTGGGGTCACTTTCTACCTCAATGGAATTTTCACTTTTCCTGGCATTTCCTTCCTCTCTTTTAATTTCTTATATGAAATCAGCTTTGGAGGGATACAGTTTTTGCATTATCAGTTCCACTGGGCCCTGTGCAGAGGGATCTGCGAAATAGATACTGCAGAAATAAGCAGCACCCTACACTAGCACACTATGGGGTAGTTCCCAGTTTGAATAGTTAAGTTGCTTAGCACCTCTAAAAGGGGTGTCATCAAAAGCTCTGTTAGAGCCAGGGATTTAGCTGAGTGGTACGCCACCTGCCTCACAAGCACAAGGTCCCAAGTTCAATCCCTGGTACCCCCCAAAAAAAGCTCTGCTTAGCATATCATCAGAAGCTCTCCTGCAGTGCTGTCGGCACCCATACAGGTTTGACCAGCTGACTGTTGCTCTAGCTTCCTTTTTTTTTTTAAGGCAGAGTCTCCTGTTGCTTAGGCTGTCCTTGAACCTCTGGTCCAAGCTGTCCTCCTGCCTCAGCCTTCTTAGCTGGAACTCCAGCTGTGAGCCACTGAAGAATGAGTGTTCTGTCTGGCTTCTATCCTTTAATCTTCAAAAAGAGAAACTTTTCACCCCTTCCTCCTTCTGCTCAGTTACATAGGACACCGACATGGATCTGTCTCTGGCCGCTTGTGTCTGGGGAATTTGGGGCCCCCGGATGATGTTTATTGTACCTATAGATAAAGGGAGCCCCTGGCTCATTCCTCTTCTGTAGAAGAAAGAGCTCCTGAGCATCTCTGAAGTTAGACTTCTGAGATAGTTTTTATTGGTTTTGTTTTCCTCTAGACTTAATGTTGGAAGGGTTTATATGTTGCTTTTTGTGGTTCTTTGAGTTGTAGCTCCTTTTGCTGTCAATCATTCCCTTTCTTACACTCAATTTAACTAACCTTGAAGAACAGAATACCCTCCTACTTTGGATACTCGAATAAATGTGGCTTCTGAAACCCAGCAGCCTTTATGATACGGCAGAAACCCCATTATCTTTTTTACCTGCTCATTCTCAGAACTTTAGAAGGAACCTCTAGGTTGGTGAGGTTTCTCTGAGAAAATGGCTTTATCTGTGTGCAAGGAGGGGGAAAAAGATGTTTAAGTAAATTCCTGTTAGAAACAAATGCTGGCTCCTTATGTAACAGAGCACAGGCTAAGCTTCCCTGGGATTTTCATTTCTTTGAACAGCTATCAGTTGATCACTCACCATATTCAGAGGTTTGGGCCAGGCCTGAAAGGGAGGTGGACAGAGCTGCATGGCAGGCCCATGTGGTCCTCCCTTTGTGAATCCATCTCCAGCCTCATACTGTGAAGACCGGCAAAGTAGAGGCCTCGCTGCAGGACTTGCTTGCATCATCAGATATGTGGTCTCTGTTCTTTTCAGCGCTTCCCATAGAGGAGGACCTTCTTCCCCTTTTAACTTTGCAAAGCAAGAGGAAAGTAGAATTCTATCTCTTTTTTTAAATACTGTTTTGTCAGTGAAGCTTTTATTCCTTTATTCTAACAGAATCCACAAAGAATTTAAGGCAACCTGAGATCTTCTGTATTTGTTTCCCATTGATTACTGAAGCAGAATCTCAGTTGGGGGACATCTCTAATGTCATCCTACTGGGAATACAAATGAAACCTGGAAAAACACAACTGGGTTGGAGAGGAGCTATGTTACTTAGTTTCCAAAGATGATGAAAGGATTCCTGATTCCTCATATCTGTCACACCATCACCTTTCATGTTGCCCCCACATAGTGATAACTGGAAAGGAAATGTTTGTGGGGCTGTGTGTTGGAAAAATCACAGGTAGATTAAAGGTTACCCATGGAAGTCTCAGTTTTTTGGCTGAGTCCTTAGCACCTGTCAATATAGCATAAGCACTAAGCTTTGGTTGACCTGAGATGGTCTCCTAGTCCAGCCACTTATAAGCCATATGACCTTGAGCCAGTTATATGGCATCATTGGCCCTGTTTCATCATCTAAAATGGAGTTCAAAGCTATTTCTGTACTGATAGGATTAAATGAGATAATGCTTGTAGGCCCCTGGCTTTAATAGGGGCTCAGTAAATGATCCCTCTTGCTAAACCTTAGAACAATTCCAGAAGTCTCTATCATGTATCTGAGTGACTTGGCTCCTTTATCAAGAGGAACTATTAGGGCCGGGGATTTAGCTCAGCGGTTCGATGCCTGCCTTGCAAGCGCAAGGACCTGAGTTCAATCCCTGGTACCAAAAACAACAACAACAAAAAAAAACAAGAGGAACTATTGTAGTACATAGTAGTTGCTCAGTAGTGTTTTTTGAATGAAGGAAGGAACTTTGGTGCTTTCCTTTTCTTATTGCCAGTACTTTGCACCATGAATTTTGCACTTTGATATGTCCTAAGAGATGCTTCAAGAAAATGGTGAGATAGACTTGGGGAATGCTGTAGAATCTGCAATGTGTAGATTCTATCCCTGTCCAGAGATGAATAGTACATATCTCTATTTTTAAAGTTTAGGGAAAGTTGTAGAGAGAAAAAAAAACCTCCCTAGCTGCTTGAATTTGGCCTTTCCCAAGCTCATTTGCCTGTATAGGGTAATGATAGTACCTCCTCAGGAGGCTTGGATGGATAAAACTGCGAAGCATTTAGAACCTGGCCAGGCAGGGTGGGCACCATGAGGGTGCTGTGGTAACTATTGAGTGCTTTTTAACCAGTGGAGTACCTAAGCATTTCCTTATTAATGGGCATTTAAGTTATTCCCAGTGGTGCATTGTTGTGAATAGCAAAGGTAAAACTCATGTGTCCTGATGCAGATGTTTCTGTGGGAGAGATTCTTAGAATTGCTGAGTCAAAAGAGATGCATTTTCAAATGCATGGATTTATTACATTTGATGGATTCCTCGGAATTACTCTCCACAGTGTGATCTGCCATGGTCCCATAAAGAGATAAGCAGCTATTTTCCCCTACTTCATGTGTACTAGATCTTCCTCCTCTTTCTCTTCCCCCATTACCCTAACTGAAAATGAAATGGAACACAGCTCAAAGTCACCCCTCTCTTCTCTGTCTTGCAGAGTCCAACCACAGATAAAGGACCAAAATGACTGACTCAAAATATTTCACCACGACCAAGAAAGGTACTGTGTGTGTTCATCGTGGGCCTATCTTACTCTTTCCCTGACTGACCCTTCTGCCTGCTTTCTCAGGGGCTTGGGAGCAGGGGTGGGCTGGAGACCTAGAGGTAACAGTGGGAATGGCCTTTTACCTTGTGGGTCCAGAAAGTCCAACTGCTGATGGGGTAAGGAATTGACTGCTGCTCTTTGAACTGAGGAAGCGAACAGTCTTAGATCCAAGTATGGACCCCCGCCAAAGCCTCCTCTTATTTCCCATAGCTTAAAATAGTTAAATACGATATTTTTTCCTGGGGCAAAGAAAACACATAGTCTGCCAAAGCCTCCTCTTATTTCCCATAGCTCAAAATAGTTAAATATGATATTTTTTCCTGGGGCAAAGAAAACACATAGTCCTATCAGTAGTCCTACACAGTGTGTGTGTGTGTGTGTGTGTGTGTGTGTGTGTGTGTGTGCCTGGTCCTTATCCTTGGACATGTGTTTTCATGGTTGCAGTCAGAGTTCTCATCCTGTTTTTCATTTGACATTAACATAAACATTTCTCAAAAGTCTAATGACTCAACATTAAGTCAATTGAGTTGGTGCCCTGAAATTTGCTAAATAGGCTTATATTATTGGGGATTTAAGTTCTTTCTGCTTTTAAGGAAATAGAGGATGTTGGCTGACCAGTGTGCTTTTAACCCTGTAAGCACCTTTCTGACCAGCTTTTCCTTCCCCCTTCTTCCTTCCTTCCAAGTGAGATTAACACATGTCTGCTGACCAGATAGAGTCTCCTATTGAATTAGCTGTACCAGGTCCTGAGGTCTGCCTTTAGCAGGCATTGGATTTATTGGTCCAGTTGGTTTTGGTTTTGTTTTTGTGGAACTGGGGAGTGAAGTTAGGGCTTTCATACTGAGCTACATTCCCAGCGCTTTTTATTTTTTATTTTGAGTCAGGATTTTGCCAAGTTGCCCAGGCTGGCCTTGAACCTGCAATCCTCCTGCCTCAGTCCCCTGAGCTGCTGAGATTATAGGCATGTGCCACTGCACCCATACTTGTTTTTAAAAGATGGTATTTATGGTGCAACCACTATGGAAATCAATATGGAGATACCTCAAAGAGCTGGGACTAGAGGTTCCATTTGACCCAGCCATCCCTCTGCTGGGTATCTTTCCAAAAGAATTAAAAGAATCATACCACAGTGATATATGCACACCAATGTTTATAGCAGCACAGTTTGTAATAGCTAAAACTTGGAAACAACTGAAACTGGATAAATAAGATGTGGTTTTTCTATAAAATGGAATACTACTCAGCCATAAAGAATGAGAAATTAGATTCCTTCATAGGAAAAGGGATACATATTGAGGATATATTCCTAAGTGAAATAAATAAGTCACACATGTGTAAATATCGTATAGTTTCTCTGGTGTGAAAAACTATAATAGTGCGATCCTAATTATATAGTTGACCGATCCTAATTATATAGTTGACCATGTGAAATAGGAAGAAAAAGGCTACAGGTGTAGGGAAAATGGGAAGGGTAGGGGAAAGGTAATAAGGGAAAAGAAAAAATATGAGAAAATGAAAAAATGGAAATAAAGTGTTTGTAAATGGGGAGGGGAGGAGGGGGTGAAGGGAGGGCACGGACAAGGGGAAAAAAATGAGAACCAAGACCTGTCATGTAAAGGTACAATATCCCAATAATGAACGTAATTGTACGGTATACCTAAAATGTACCAATAAACTCAATAAAAGAAAAAAAATTTTAAAAATAAAAGATGGTATTTGGCGATGTTGCCTAGACTGGCCTTGAACTCCTAGACTTAAGTGATCTTCCTGCCTCAGCCTCCCAAGTAGCTGAAACTGCAGGTGTCCTGCACTACACTTGACTATAGTTTTCTTTAATTGAGCACCTGTCATGTACAGTGGAAGAGACAAGCAAGATCTCTGACCTGGCTCTGCTTTAGGTGGAGCTGGGAAAACCGTATATTTATCAGTAACCACACTAATGAGTGGTAGGTACAGTGGGGCTTTAGAAAAACTCCACTTGGAGCTAGTCAGGTAAAGGAGTATAGGGAAGAGGAAGGAGTGAGTGATGTGCTCATGATTCATTCTGGAAAAGGGAAAGGAAAGGTCTTGAGTACAACTTGCCAAAGAGGATGATGCAAGAAAAAGCAAGAGAGGTGTGGAGGTATAAGTGGAACAGGGCCTGATGAGCCAGACTAGGGATGTGAGCTTAGTGCTAGGGTAACAAGAATGTCAGCGATGAGTTTTTTTTGTGTGTGTAAGTTTTCTTTTGAGAGTGTCTGGAGAGAGATGTTCATGTTTAGATCTGGCATCTGATATCAGTCAGTTTTTAAGCAAGGAAGGCAGAATCTAATAAAGGATGGAAGGGAGAAAAGCTGAAGGGAGGTAGGGAGACCTGGCCCACAGCTCACAGGAATTGTCCTGGTGCCTGAAGGAGGAGGGATTGAAGGCCTTTTATGTAGTTGAGGAGGTGAACTTGATGACTGACTGGATTTAGGAGCCTGTTAGAGGAGGGAGACATTTCAGAAGCAGTCAGATGTGGATTCACCCATCAGCCTTGGGCCTAGACCCGTTAATTGACTGCAGTTGCATTGTATCTGGCCACACACTGAGTAAAGCACAAGCTGCCTGGCAGAGGAGTCTAGGGTCAAGGACTGGTCTGTTGGATCCCAGACCAAGCAAACACAGCCTCTCACAGTCTTGCAGGAGAAAGACACGTGTTCTTTGGTAAATTTGAACTGCAAGATCTTCAGATTCCTCCTGGCTTCATTGAGCAATATCCTTATTGCAGCCTTCCCTGGGGCTGTGCTTTGATTGTTTTTAATTAACCACATTTGCTGTCTTTCATCTCAGGTTCTCTACTGAGCACCACATTGTTAAGTCATGATAAAAGCCTACTGGCTTTCCTTTTTTCTCACAGTAAATTCACCTAGAACTTTCTCAGCACTTTCCTTCACGTAATAGTCCCTGCTCACCTCTACCACAGGTAACGTCACTCTACAAAATAGGGCAAAGAGTCACATGGTAGATTAATAATAATAGCAGTCTCCCTTAACACAGAACACTGAGTGCGAGGCATGCTGAGGAACAGTTCACTTCTGAATGTTCAGTGAGAGGATTCAGCATTGCAGTCAAGGGAGAGAGGATAAGTGAAGAAACAGGTGAAGAGAGGCGAAGGAGTATCTGGGTAGGCCGAAGGATAGGGATTTACAGCAGGGTTTTTGGAAAGACGGATCTGGTTTTGAATCTGGTGTGTGTCACCTACTAGCCATGTGGCTTTTACAGCTTCCATTTGCTCATCTGTAAAATGGGAAATGCAGAGTTGGTGTGAAGATGAAATAATAGAGGGCGTGGAAGTGTAGCGCCAGGCTCAAAGGAAGGCTGAGGAAGTGCACCTTGCTTTTCTAACCTCTTAGCAGGCACTGGCTCTGGTAAAGCCTAAAACAACTCTGTGTCCTCGTTTCCTTTTTCCACATCATCAAGTTCTTAAGAACAATTTATTACTTACTCAGGGGAGCTGAATGCCCATTTTATGAGCTGTCTGAGCAACCACTTGTGGCTCAGGAATTGAAACTGTGAGCAAGCTGTTTGAATTCCAGATTTAGGAAAATAGGAAAAGCTTATATGTGAGATCCATCCAGTCCTGTCCTCTCATCACAAATCCTAAGTACCCAGGTTCCATTACATTCAGCCTTGAGGGCTATAGTGGAGTGAGATAGCTGAGGAGAGCTTTGATTCCCTCTGTTTTTAGCAGTCTGGCAGAGCAGGCCTTGCCTGTGCTTTTTTATTTCCCTCAGGATCTTTATGATCTCCCGATCCCTGTGGGCAAAGATGTCAGGTAGGCAGGAGTAGGGTGGGTGGCAGCCAGATGCTGGCTGATAGGGATGGGCTTATAGTTTGGCCCCAGTTCAGATCGTTTCTTTAGGGTACTTAGGGGCCTACATCTCCCCTCGTATAGCTCCTTTCATGAACCTTCTTTCCATACTGAAGGTTTTGTCTGCAAAAGAGTCATGAGCTCAAATGCTGCAAAGATGTCAGGTAGGCAGGAGTAGGGTGGGTGGCAGCCAGATGCTGGCTGATAGGGATGGGCTTATAGTTTGGCCCCAGTTCAGATCGTTTCTTTAGGGTACTTAGGGGCCTACATCTCCCCTCGTATAGCTCCTTTCATGAACCTTCTTTCCATACTGAAGGTTTTGTCTGCAAAAGAGTCATGAGCTCAAATGCTGATGGATCAGGTGATAATGGAATGGAGTGGGTTGAAAAGACTTCAGGCGACAGAGTGGGTATAGTGGGAGCCCTCTCAGAAGCTCCAGAGGATTGCTGCTGGCTGGGGAAGATGAACCTGATTTTTTAAAAGAACAGGAAATGTGGATTTTTCATTTTAAAGCACCTCTTTTGTGTGTGTGTTTAAATATACAGTGTGGTCCAAGTAAACATACCTACAGATTGAATTTCTCTAATTTGCCAACAGTTTGCAACCTTAAGTTTGTATTTAATGGAGTAAATCACATGTAGAATGGCTGCTGTACTTTCTGTTTTTGCTTTAGTGCTGCTTGGAATGCCCATTTGCCCACCCTGTTTTCCCTTCATTTAAAACCCACCTACTGGGTGTGGTGGCACATACCCTATAATCCCATCACTTTGGGGGGGGCCTGAGGCAGGAGGTTCACTATGAGTTCAAGGCTAGTCTGAACTATACAGTAAGACCCTGTCTCGGAAAAAAAAAAAAAAAATCCGAGGTTCATAGCTTAGATCCAGTTCAGATCTCTCATTTAGGGTACCTAGGGACCCGTGTCTCCCCTCATGCTCCTTCCTTGTTTCGTTGGTTGGGCTTTTTTTGGTTTTTGTTTTATTTTTTGAAACAGAGTCTCACTGTGTAGGCTTGGCTAGCCCAACCCTGACTAGCCTCAGACTGGCAGTCCCCCTACCTCAGCCTCACAAGTCCTGGGATTACAGGTGTGTACCACGACACCTGGCTACCTGTGTGGGCCACCTCCTTCCCATTGCCTTCCCCATCACTGTGCTACTACTCTGAACTCAGCATTAGTTCTCTGAATCTACACTCTTCTTATGTTATGCTCATTTGTTTTTACCCACCCATCTTACTAAAGTACCTAAAAATGGGACAGATTTTATGACAACTTAATATTTTCACAGTGTTGGAGAATCCACAGAACACTTTCAGATATATTTTTTTAATATTTTCTTTCAATTCCCATGATAAGCAGTGCTGTTTTTAGCTGCCAGAGAAACAAGGTAAAGAAAGAGGAAAATGACCAGTCATTGGTTAATGGCCAATCTGTGAGTAGGCCCAACCCTTCTGCAATCCAAATCTAGGTTGCTTTTGCCCAGACCCTTTCTTCTGTGTGCTCATGTTGCCCAGCTCCATGTCTCAGGGGCCTGGTGCTGATGTGGGGCAGCTCCCCATCTTTCCAGGTCCCACATCACAATCGCACTGCTCCAGACTTCCCCATGGACTGCCCATCCTATTGCTCATTCTTCAGCGAGGCTCTCCTGCAACAACTCATGAGAAGCAGTTATACAGAGACTACTGATGACACAGTACCAAAGTATTAAGCATTTGCTGGAAGGCTGGGCCTCCTCCCAAGTCTGATTCCTTCTAGAACAAAGCCGCTCTCCTTCAGCCAGAACACTGCTGTCATCTCACAAAGGAAACATCTTTGTTTTTCTCCCTTGAAAGACCTTGCTTAGGCCTCAGAGAGCAAGTCAGGCTCATCAGCACTTCTCCCTCCTCCTTTGTTCCCAGTTCTTCCTGGTGTGTCATCATCACCGTGATCCACCCGTTTCTGCTCCAGCTGAACTCCTGCTTGTTGGGGCTCAGGAAGTTCCGTCAGACCTCTTAGGTCTCTAGGTTGCCATGTCCTTGCCATTAAAAACATGAATCAAGAGGGGAGCCAGGCACAGTGGCTCATGCCTGTAATCCCTGTATGTGGGAGGCTGAGGCAGGATCACAAATTGGAGCAACTGAATGAGACCTTGTCTCAAATAAAAAATAAAAAAAGTTTAGAGGTGAAGGCCCTGGGTTCAGTTTCCAGTATGAGGGGGAGAGGAGAAGGGAGGTGATGGTTTCAGAGATAGAAAATTGATCTGTAAACATTTTTTATGTCTCAAGAAAGGCTGTGTACCACGTGTGGTGGCACTTGCCTGTAATCCCAGTACTCAGGAAGCTGAGGCATTAAGATTGCAAGTTCTAGCCCACCCTGAGCAACTTAACAAGACCTTATCTGAAAATCATAAAAAGGGGTGGGAATGTAGCTCAGTTTGAAGATCAGACAGGCAGACAGACAGACAGACTGTGACTCTGGGACCATTGGGTGTCATATACTACCCAGTGTAGTAATATATGGGGTCAGACTTGGCTCATCGGGCAAGTTTTCATTTTTGAATTTTAGCATCATCTTGGAGTGAGGATGCTCTCCTGGCTTCTCAGGAATGTTAGATGAGGTGAAGTGTGCCACAGTCTTGGTGCCATATAGCATATCGCACCATACATATTTTGCTGTTTCCTAGTGGATACCAGAGCTGGCCCTTGTGGTGAAAACAGCATGACTCATCTTTTCTTCCTTGTGACCCTGCAGAACACTTCCATATACCTAAAGTATGCTGTCTTGTTTAATTATTACAAGGGCCCTGTAACATGAGTTTTTCTTTTTTTTCTGATATTAGGAATCAATTCCAAGCCTCATGAATGCATAGGCAAGTGCTTTATCACTGAGTTACAGCCCCATCCTTGAAGTGAGTTTGTGTTGCACATTTCTTACAAACAAGGAAATAAACTCAGGCTGAAGGAAGTGTCCCAGCACCATACAACTAGCAAGACGCAGAGCTAGGTTTGACAGGCTCCAGAGCTCATGAAAAGAACAAAAAAGTCAGTCTTTGGGCAGATACGCTGGTGCTTGCTTGTAATCCCTGCATTGTAGGAAGCTGAGATAGGAAGATCACAAATATGAGCCCATGCAGGGCAGCTTAGCAAAACCCTGTCTCAAAAAAGTATAAATAAATAAACTGTTGGGAATGTAGCTCAGTGTGAAGGCCCTGAGCTCAATCCCCAGTATTAAAAAAATTTTTTTTCCTCTGCCATTTTTTTCTGTCCAACGTTTGTGGTAACTGCATAGCCAATGCCTTTCTTTTATCAGGAAGTCCTGTTTATCTTTCTGCTTCCTTCCTGCTCACTGTCCCTTTGCCCCTAAGATTTTAGCTGCCTAAAAATATTCCTCTTCCTGTCTTCAGCCTATTTCTGCTGACACCATCTTGACCTTTCAGTGCCCTCTTCCCTGATGTGGTGAACTGCATGCAGACCGACAACCTAGAGCTAAAGAAGCTGGTATACCTGTACCTGATGAATTATGCCAAGAGTCAGCCTGACATGGCCATTATGGCTGTCAACACGTTTGTGAAGGTGAGTAGAAGCTGGGTGGAACGGGGTGCAAATGCTGTTCACTGCTTCATGTTCCCTAGGTTTTATTTGAGGTGCATCCTGTCACCCTGAGTGAAAATAGGCAAATAGGCTCCTTGCCTGACAGGCTGTCTCTGCCTCATAGGCTAAGGATTTCTTCCTCCAGCAGATGGCTCCCTCTCTCTCCAGAAACTCCTCTGTCAAGGCCCAGCCTTACTAATTCTCTATGAGGTTGTACCAGGCCTGTTGGTCCCTCATGCCCTGGAAGGTGGTAGGAATTGTTCTGCATCCTTTGGCAGAGCAGGACTCAGCAGCATCTGAGGACTGCTCTGTTCTCCTTCTGGACTGCCCCTTTCTACATTTCTGATCTCCAGATGAGAAGCAAAGCAGGCACTGGAGCCTTGGTTTCACTGGCTCATTCATATTCACATACTATAAATGAGTGTTTCTGTGGGAGGGGAAAGACTGAGGGTTGTTATCTAGGTGGATGTGGGTTTGAATCATGGCTCTGCTCTGTGACATGGTGAACTTCCTGAGATTCTTAGCTTCCTCACCTGTTAATTTGGGCCAGTATTGTTAAGTCTGCTGTGAGGATCAGAGATGATGTGCAGACCCCCTCACATAGTATCTGACAAATGCTCAGTGTCTGTTACGTGACATTTACCTTGATGGAGATCCCACAGCAGCCTCTTGATAGTGCTCACCTCTGCCCCTGGCCAATGGCTACTTCTCCTCAGGACTGCGAGGACCCCAACCCCCTCATCCGGGCCCTAGCTGTGCGGACCATGGGCTGCATCCGAGTTGACAAGATCACAGAGTACTTATGCGAGCCACTCCGGAAGTGCTTGAAGGATGAGGACCCATATGTGCGCAAGACAGCAGCTGTGTGCGTAGCCAAACTCCATGACATCAATGCCCAGCTGGTGGAGGATCAGGGCTTCCTGGACACCCTTAAGGACCTTATCTCCGACTCCAACCCCATGGTATGCCAACGCCACTCAGCATGGCAGCTCTACTACCTCCTGAGTTACTTGGGGAGACCTTGGTTTGAACCTTTGCCAGGCAGTCCCCAGTTTCTAGTAGTTGGATACCTTCTGTATGGGCTGGTTGTTCTTATGCCTTGTGGTGGTTCGGCTGCCACGCTGTGACTAAACTTGGACTCCCTTCTCAGTCTTAGCTAGCTGCATAACTTCAGACAAGCTGCCTAACCTTCCACATCCCTCTTCAGTGAGATGGACCTCACTGTCTGTAGCTAGCAAGAGTGCTGGTAGGTAGTATGCCTGGCCTGGCCTGGTTCACAGTAAGCGTGCAATCAGTTCCTATGCTCTGCTTCCCCTTCCACTCACTCTCATTGTCACCATTTCCTCACCAGCACTATCTGTAAGCTCTGAACATGTGGCTCTCTCCCCTTTCACTAGGGTTGTAGAGAGTCACCCTTGAACTAGCATAGCATGACTGGGTGGGAACTCCAGTCTCCTTCCCCACAGTGATGGCAGCAGTTTGACAGGACATGTGGCAGGGCCTGTTTAGAATGAAATGCAAACACAAACCCCTGGGGTCAGCTGTCCCCACCATATATCCCACAAAAACACTACTCACTCATGGGCATTAAGCAGACACTGCAGTGACTGTCACAAGAACATTGCTTGTCATAGGGAAAAACTGAAAACGATGCAGACCATATATGTATAGTACTGCTCTTGTGGAAGTGGCTAGATCTGAAAAGTTTAGTGGACAACCACTGAGTGAGTTGCTGTTACTGGTAGATGGGTGCTGTAGGTTTAGGTAGCTGGAATGCTTTTTACTATCAGCACTTGGAACTGCAGCTTTCTTGGTTTTTGTTTTTGTTGTGTCTTGTTTTTTATGTGGTAGATGCCTTTATTTTAATTCTAATTTATAGAGGAGTCTGCAGGGTGAGTGCTTGGAGTGCATCTCAAAGCTCTAGACTTTATGTGTAGGGTCATACACCTTTCAGGATGTCCCACGTCTGACCTGCCAAAGTCATTAGCCCCTCTCCCCTGGGCCAGGAGCAGCATCCTTAGCCTCATTTCCTTCTCCCTTCCCAACCAGGTGGTAGCAAACGCAGTGGCTGCCCTCTCAGAGATCGCTGAGTCTCACCCCAGCAGCAACCTGCTTGACCTGAATCCACAGTCCATCAACAAGCTGCTGACAGCCCTGAACGAGTGCACTGAGTGGGGCCAGATCTTCATCCTGGACTGCCTGGCTAACTACACTCCCAAGGACGACCGTGAGGCCCAAAGGTGAGCAAGCATCATGTTTGCCAGCTCTGCCAGACCTAGAGCCCTGCCAGTTCTCTAGAAGCTCCAGCCATGAGCTGAGCCTCAGGCCTGAGTAGGCTGCTTCCCAGGGCCTTGCCTTGTACACGGTGCTCAGGCACACCTGGCGGGAGCCAGTCCACTTCTTATCTCTCCAGTGTGGCTTCAGGTAGTCAGCTTGCTGCTTGCTGTGACACAGACGGGGCCTGACCTGGAACCTGGCAAGACCCTAGTCACCTGGCCAAGTCAGGAGATGAATAGCAAGAGAGCCACTGCTTGCTGAATTCTGAGTATCTGAGCTTCTGCTGAATGTTTTCTGCATACTGTATGATCTTTAAAGCAATTCTGAAGGACGTTGCATTATTGTCCACCGTCTTACAAATGAGGAGACTCTAGATTAATAGGTAGAGGGAGTTGTGCATGTTGCCAGCTGAGACTCATCTGACTTGATTACGCCCCCACCCCATCCCAGGTACTAAGGAATGAACCCAGGGCCTTCTCGCTAAGCTGCATCTTCAACTCCTTTTTACTTTTTATAGTAACTCAAACTTGCAATCCTCCTTGCCTTAGTATATCACAGTGCAGGATTACAGGTGTTCACCTGTAATTGCTCAGCTATTGTGGTCATTCTTTACATGTGTTGTTTCACTTAAGTCCCCAGCAATCCTGTGAAGCAGTTATCATAATCTTGGTTTTATGAATGAGAAAACTGAAGCTCAGAGTAACCTGATCCTGCTTGGGGTCAGTTAGCAGGCTGCAGACCCACAATCTAGATCTTCCTTATACAGAAGACATGTTATTTTGACAACTAAAAACAGGACATTTTCTCTTCTCTGTCTCTTCTTTACCTGATTGGAACCCCTGGACCCTAGCATCTGTGAGCGGGTCACACCCAGGCTTTCCCATGCCAACTCTGCTGTGGTGCTGTCGGCTGTGAAGGTGCTGATGAAGTTCATGGAGATGTTGTCCAAGGACCTGGACTACTATGGTACACTGCTGAAGAAGCTGGCTCCACCTCTTGTCACACTGCTGTCAGCTGAGCCAGAGCTGCAGTACGTGGCCCTGCGTAACATTAATCTCATCGTGCAGAAAAGGTACCTAGGCTGCCACACACATGTCCATAGTGCATACCCCTGGGAACAGGCACTCAAGGGAAACTGACCTGTGCAAGAAGACTAAAGATTACCTTAGTTAGCTGGTTGTAGTAGCCCTTGCCTGTAATCCTAGCACTTGGGAGGCTGAGGCAGGAAGATCGCTGCAAGTTTATGGCCAGCCTGGACTACATAGCAAGACCCTGTCTCAAAAAAAAATAGCTTAACATAGTGAGATCCTGTCTCAAAAAAAAAAAAAAAAAATTGTGTGGATGCACACAGGCATTTTGCCTGGGGACAGAGTCTGTAGGTTTAGTCAAGGTTGAAAGATGATAGTTTGTTTTGGTTTTTTTGAGACAGGGTCTCACTTTGTAGTGTAGGCTGGTCTTGAACTCACTGTGTAGCCCAGGCTGGCCTCAAACTCATGAGATTACAGGCATGTGCCACCATGCTTGTGTCTTTTATTTTAAACATATTTTTCCCCGCATCTAGTGAGTGATGTTTAGCCAGAGTCCACAGCTATTTCCAGGTGCTGGTTCCTAGGCCTATCTGAAAGGACTCAGCATGTTGTCTGGCTGGTTGGTTGAATAGATGGGTGGATGGGTTGATGGATGGATTGAAGTGAGGAGATGGTGAGGAACTTTTGCACAGCCTTGAGGCCTGGGGGGTATAAAGCAAAGTCGGCAGAATGCTGTGTAGCCCATTTCCTCCTCCTCCTCCTCAGGGTTGCTGCATAAAGCTACATCTTCCAAGAGGTGCGGGGAGGGCTGAAATACATTGAATAAGCTGGGTATGGTGGCACACACCTATAATTCCAACACTAGAGGCTAAGGCAGGAGGATTGCCATGAATTTAAGGCCAGCCTAGACTACATAGTGAGTTCAAGACCAGCCTGAACTACATGAGCAAGACCCTGTCTCAAAAAATAAAAACTAAAAAAAAATTAAATACATTGAGCAGCCCTGGGTCTGAGGGTTGTCTGGAATGACCTCTTCCTTCCTCTGAGGTAGCTCTGAGAGAGAGCCCAGCAGCACTGGGGTGGAATTAGCCTCCTGCTCTACTCCCAGCCTTTTTGGTCTAGTGGGTCACTCAGCAATCAGGATTTGGAAGTAGCAGCTAAGTATTTTATATTCATAAGTTGCAGCAGGCCCTGTTGCTGGGATCAGGGCAACACAGAGAAGAGCCACTTGAATTCATTCAAGTAACACATCCTCCTTGGAAAGTAACGCATCCTTCTTGAACCATTGGTCGGTTCTTAGTACACTTGGAGTCCCAGAAATAATTGATGGAACTGAAATATTTGTTAAGATTTAGGAGGTACAAAAATGCTTCATAAGCAATGAGTTTCAAAGTTGTGGTGTGTGTCTTTATACCCAGTGCTCTTGTGTCACTGAATTTAATAAGGTATAGGGCTTTCTAGGTCTAGATCAGAGTGGAAGGCTCCCTATGCTATGTTTATCATGAGAAATCTCTTTAAGAAATTGCCTGTGTTGCCCAGACACGACCCAGCACAGCCCTGACACGTGATTGGGCAGTTTTTGTCAAGTCCTGATTGCAGAAATCATCCTCCTGTTACTCAGCCTAAGGTCCCTGTCCCCACCCCACCCCCAGCATGCCAGAGGCTGCTCACTTGGCCAGGACCTCCCTCCCTGCAGCCTGCACAGCAGCACTAAGTACATAGGTACCTCGTCTCTCTGCCTCATCTTTACCCTCTGTCTTCATCCCTTTTCCTAGTGATAGGAGAAAACCTTGATATTTTTGAGTTTTGTTTTTATGTTTTTGGTTTCTGTTCTAGAAAGGGCATAGAAGTAGGAGTTTGGGTGATGACTGTTGCCTTGCTCCTGCTTTTGTTAGATGTGACCTCTGTGAGGTTTCCTTGTCTAAAAAAAATGTTATAGAGATTCCAGTTGAGGTCAGAAGGGCATTGCCTTTGTGGGAGGAGCAATGGTGCACACAAATGTGCTGGGCTGGTGACAGTTCCTGTGTAGTAAGTGCCACCTTTGAGACAGGCATCCATTGTGCCAGGGCCTCAAGTCTGACTCTCACAATGGGCCTGTTTGTAAGTGTCTGTGTCAGGATCCCCAGCACCACCCCCATGCTCAGAGACTCACTAGCAACTCTCATGGAACTTAGCACATAGTTATACTCGTGGCTGAGTTTTGTAATAGTAACCTAGTAAGGACACACAACTGACTCATAAGGGAGAAAGACACAGATGAAATCTGGAGCAACACATAAGAAACATCCATACAGTTCCTCCCACTCTGGATGAGGGAATCACATACAGCATATCTTGTCTCTAGCCGTGAATTACAGAACATGTACAGGCCAGGCATGATGGCACAGACCTGTAATTTCAACACTTGGGAAGCTGAGGCAGGAGGATTGCTGTGAGTTCAAGGCCAGCTCAAACTACATAGTGAGACCCTGTCTCAAAAAACAAACAAACAAAATGTGTAGAGCATTTCCGTCCAGGAGTGTCTAATTGAGACTCAGCACCCAAAGTTTCAATCTCCTTCAAATTTCAGACTCTGAGAAAGAAAGGTGTTGAGCCTAAACCATGCTGTTTGTACAAATAGCCTGGGCACCCTAACCAACTTTCCCACTCCGGGAGCAGTGTGAACACCCTCCAACATCTGAGTTCCCCCTAGGCCTTTCGAGACTAGCAGACTCAGACCTGTGGTGGTAACACTTTCCTATATCTTGGGTGAGAGACAGAGGCCTGAGGTCAGAGGTTGGAACCCTCGCCAGGTGCCTGCTGCCCTCTTTTTCCCTTCCTGAGATGTGCTGAGGTAGGCAGTAGCCAGGTAGCTCAGGCTTGTTAGGGGCCCTCTGGCCAGAAGTGTGAGGCTGTGGTGGTGTTTTTGTTTTCCTGCATATCAGGCTCCACTTAAGATCCTAGAAATGTCCCAGCACATGTTGTAAGGGTTTTCTCATGGGGCTTATGCCTTGCTTTTTCTTTCCTATCCTGACATCCTACTTTTCTATCAGGCCTGAGATCCTGAAGCATGAGATGAAGGTGTTCTTTGTGAAGTACAATGATCCCATCTATGTGAAGCTGGAGAAGCTAGACATCATGATCCGCCTGGCTTCCCAGGCCAACATTGCCCAGGTACACAGAGTGTGGCAGTTAGGGCACAAGCTGTAGTTTTGTCCAGCTCCATCACCAACTGGCTGTGCATTCTGGGTCAGCTGATCATTCTTTCTATCAGCAGTTCATTCCATGGAGGTATTAAGCATGAGGCCTGTAGCTTGGTAAGCATGTAAAAACCTGTAATTTTTGTTACTAAAGAATATTCTCCCTATTATTACCTATCATCCATCCATTAAAAAGTGGTAGTTAGGGCTGAAGATAACAGCTAGTGCTAGAGTACCTGCTTAGCATAGAGACCTAGGCTCAATCCCCAGCACCACACACACAAAAAAGGAAGCTAAAACAAGGCTTGTGCAGCCCTGCCAGCTTATTATTCCCTTCCTTCCTTTTGAGGCATCTGGCCACTCTTTCCCTCCCCTGGGCCTTCTATGTTGAGCAGGAAACAATCCCATAATTCTCCAGGTCTCTGGATTCCCATTACCCCGAGTGTTTCCAGAGGCTACCTCATCAGGCATCCTCCAACCCATTTTCTCTGTTTGGGTCATAGGTGTTGGCAGAGCTGAAAGAGTATGCAACAGAAGTGGATGTGGATTTTGTAAGGAAAGCTGTGCGTGCCATTGGCCGCTGTGCCATCAAGGTGGAGGTGAGGAGGCTCTGGGACTCTGTCTATAGCCAGAAAGGGGGAAAAAGGCTCAAAACAGGAAAATGGTCTGATATTAGCAGATTATACCACATGTTTGTGGTCCAGAAAGGATTCAGAGTCACCACTGGAGCCCTCAAAGTGCAGATTCAGTTGGGCTTCTTTTCACTGTAGACTTAGCTTCACTTGATGAAGCTCTGGGGTAGGGACTCTGCCTGGCTGCACAGGCAGGTATCCTGATTCACCTGCCCACGAGACTTTCTTCAAGATCACCAGGCCGCTCCAGACCTTGTGCCTAGCATTTCATCCTCATGTTCTTTTCTTGGGGAGATATTCCTTGACTACTAAGGTGGGCTCCTCTTAAATGGGCCCAGTGCTGGCTAGAGGATCTTGAGGTATTTTCCCCTTATTGTTTGTGATAGCCATCCTGAGAACTCTTTTCCACTGGGCCATTAGCATAGTGTGTTGGGAATAAAGGCAGAACAGCTGGCTCAAGCAGAGATTTTGTGAGTGTTTTTGGTCACAAGAGCTCATTTTATGAAACACATAAGAGAGGTGATGTCAGACTGGGGGAGTCACTGCTCTCAAGGCTTGGCCCAGAGAATCTTTGAAGAGCTCTTTGCCCTTAGGAGTGCTGCCTCTGGCTTCTCTATAGTCTGGTTGTCCCTGCAGTGCAGGGGCCATCGTTTGGTAATTACTGTGCCGCCCCCCATTATCAGGGGAGAATGTTCTGTTCTGCTATGATGAGGGGTGGACAAGAAATAACTTAGGCCCTTTGGCCCAGACATGGTCAACAGTTATATTGGAAATGAGGTGCAAGATCATACCCACATCCCCTTCCTCTTTCCACAAAGCAATCTGCGGAACGCTGTGTGAGCACACTGCTCGATCTCATCCAGACCAAAGTCAACTATGTGGTCCAGGAAGCCATTGTGGTCATTAAGGACATTTTCCGCAAGTACCCCAACAAGTAGGTGCTCATCCCTTGAAGTGAGAGGGCAGTGTGGCTCTGCTTGAGGACAGAGTACTGTAGTGGGGAGGAGAAGAAAGGGGAGCCTCTCCCCTACCCTGTTCCTTTCTGCCACAGCAGCATTCTCATCAGAAACCCTTTTTACCCTTCTCTTCCCTGGACTGGTCCTCCTCTGCTCCCCAGGTCAAGATAAGAGCTAACATGTAGCAGATAAAACTCAGATTCCCCTCTCCTCACCACCTCTCGGGATCTTACAAGACAGTTGCCTGCCTCTTTTGGCCCTTGTGGGCCTTTTCCTGTTCATGTGCCGCTGAGTCCTGTTCTCCTAGGTATGAGAGTGTGATTGCCACGCTATGTGAGAACCTTGACTCTCTGGATGAGCCTGAGGCCCGGGCTGCCATGATCTGGATTGTGGGCGAGTATGCCGAGCGGATTGACAATGCAGATGAGCTGCTGGAGAGCTTCCTTGAGGGCTTCCATGACGAAAGCACCCAGGTAAGCCTTTCATGCAGGTAGAGTCGGGCCACAGCGGTAATCATGACTGGGATTTTGACCCAGTGTGGCTCATCCTTTTCTGAAACCCTCCCCTCATACTGCCAGTGATGTATTACCAGTGTGGCCTCTTTTCTCCCCCGGGCAGTGCCTTGGGGAGCATGGGAGATAGTCTTGATGGTGTGCAAGGAAAGTTTCTGGTTTTGTTTCCGTTTTATATTTATCTTTGGATAGGTAATATATTGACTTGGTTCCAAATTGAAAAGAGGGCTGGGGATTTAGCTTAGTGGTTCTACTGCCTGCCTCACAAATGCAAGGTCCCAAGTTCGATCCCTGGTACCAAAAAGAAAAAAAAAAATTGAAAAAGAGCTGGGCATAATGACACGTGCCTATAATCCTACCACTGGGGAGGCTGAGGATTGCCATGAGTTCTAGGCCAGCCTGGACTACATAGTGAGTTCAAGGTCAGCCTGAACTACATAATAAAACCTTGTCTAAAACAGACAAACAAACAAAAAACAAAATTAAAAAAGGTAAGCCAAGTGTGGTGGAACATGCCTGTAATTTCAGTACTTGAGAGGCTGAAGCAGGACATTTGTAAGCCTGGACCACATAGTGAGATCCCGTCTCAAACAAAACAAAACAAAAAAATTGAGAAGGTAAAGAAGAATATATAGTGAAAAGTCTCCTACCACTTTACTCCTCCCAGAGGTCACCAGCTTGTTTTCCTCCAAGTACTTGTGGAAACTCCATGAATACACTGGTAGATCACCCCACACATACATATACATGTGCACACACAGACTCATATGCAGTCAGTTCTCTTTATCCATGGTGCTTCTGTTCTGTATCACTGCAAACACTAAATTAGTGAGTATGGAACTCTTGCTTCCAGGAGAAGTACTATATAAAGTACAGTAGGTTCCTGTGAGTGTCTGGGCACATTTTTGTCAGCTGATTGATACGTGACCTTGTTCTATGTGTATTTAAAGACATCTTAAAGATTTGTGGGGGCTACTGGGAATCGAACTCGGGTCCTTGAGCTTGCAAGGCAGGCAGCTGAACCACTAAGCTAAATCCCCAGCCCTTAAAGGTATTTTGCTTAACATTGGACTCATGGCCTGAGTTAATACAGGCTAACACATATATTGTCTCTATAAGCCATACATCATAGCCTTCTTGTGCTTCAAACCAACGGGCAAGCACTTCAGCGCTGTGCTTGGGAGTAATTTTAGATAAGGAAATCATCAACAAAAAGTTCAGAGATGTGGAAAAATGCAGCATTCAGTCGTCATGGAAGGATGCTTGTTTACATGAGCACTGAGCACTGCCTTGTCTTACCTCAGCTCTGTATTTGTGTGTGTCAGTCAGTCATGTCTTCACTGCTCTGCCTGTAGCTGTAAATGACCGCAGAAACACCATCGGCATGGATTTGAAGGCTACAGGTAGATTTTAGAAGTAAGCAAATTCACAGATATGGACTCCATGAATAATGGAGATTGCCCATGTGCATCTGTGTGTATATTTCCTTCTCATTTATTTTTAAATGCTCCTGGTACTGAGCAAATTCAAATTGTTTAACACCTGACCTTTTCCCCTTAAAATAGATCTTGAAGGCCATGCCTTTATTAATTTGTTTTATTTAACCTTGATAGATACTTAGGTGTCCACTCCTCTGGTTCTTTTAAGAAGTATGGCTGTGACAGGCTGTGTGATGTACAACTACATGTACGTCTGGAGGGTAAATCCTTAAGCAGTGTGCTGGGAGAGAAGGGCTGTGCATTTGAGATGAGAGTAACTGTTTGCCTAATTTCCCATGGTGTACAGATTGTTCGGGTTTACTTTCCATTTCAGATGAGATCACTCTTTCCTTACCTGCTTGCTGGCCAAGTACATCTGCGCAGTTCCTTTCTACCAGTCTCGTAGACAGCAAGGGGAACTTCTGTGTAGTTTTGTTTGCATTTTCTGATATGAATGAGGCTGAGATCTTGTCATGGGCATTCTCTTTTCTGTGAATTAGGAACTGTCTGTTCATGCATGTGAGCCTTTAGGCAGTAATCTGCCTGATGAGATCATTGTAACCCAGTGGGTCTGCCTGTAGATCTTGTGATCACACAGATCCCAGAATTGACATCCCTTGTCCCTTCGTGGCTCAATGAATTTGTGCTTATCCCTTTTCCTCTCTGAACCTGTTTCCTCATTTGTAAAATGAGGATCATTCCCTCTTCCTCTGAAAAGTTTGTGGAATGTTTTGTGTAATATCCTTAACAATAGGCACTGTTAAGAGTGGTATTGGTGGGCCTGGGATTTAGTTCAGTGGTTCAGTGGCCTGCCTTGCAAGCACAAGGACCCATGTTCAATCCCCGGTACCAAAAAAAAAAAAGAGAGTGGTATTGGTTTGGATCAAAATTGATTTCAGAAGTAAGTTGGTCCAGCCAAGTATTTAGCTCAGTTCTGAATTCAATCCCTGGTACCAAAAAATAAAACAAAAAAAGTAAACTGACCCAGGAAAAATGAGACGGGGTTATCCAGTTCCCATAACGGACCTTTCTAAGTAGCACACTCCCTTCCCACAGTTGTGGCTGCAGCTTCTCTGGTAGTACATTCAGGCTGTCTCTGCAATCCTTGGGTAGCTTCTGCCCTTGGGCAGGATCTCAGGAGTGGGGGCAACAAGGGTTCGGCCATTCTAGGCACTATTCTTACAGCTTAACAACTCCTAGGAAAAGATCAGTTTCCTCTTTAGCAGTCCAGCAAAAGTCCCAAGGCTTGTTTGCATTGTCCTGAGCCAGTCATCGAGGCCCACAGATATTTCATTCCAATCTCTATGGATCAAAAGGGTGGTTCTCTGAACAAAGCCAGCACTTTTGTTACCAGAAGACAGTAAATTCTGGTTGGGTAAAAATAGCAGATGTCCATCGCAGAATCATAGCAGTAATTCCTACTGTCACCCCTTCCATTGCCACCTGCCACCAAACTGCCTTCGCTTTCTGTACAAGCCCCTTGTTTCTTGTGTGATAAGCAAAACTTGGCCTGAGATCGTTTCTCCCCCAGCGACTAAGTTCTGCCTCAGGTTACTGTAGATGATGGCCTGAAGGGATGGGGCACTGCCCAAATATTAGCATAAATTTTGCAGCCTCTTTCTCTTCACCAAAGCTTACTAATGAGCCAGTAAAGTCACGGAGCTGGGCATGGTGGTACACACTCATAATCCCAGAAGACTGAGTCAAGAGGATCACAAGTTTGAGGCCACCCTGAGCAGGGAGTGGAGCTCAGTTATAGATCACAAGTCTAGCATGTACGAGGCCCTGAGTTCAGTCTCTAGTATGACAGAGCAGTGTGTGGGGGACCTCACCAAGTCCCGTTTCTTTGTCTGTAGTGGGTTATTAAGGTTTTTGGATGCAGGGCGGGGGATTTAGCTCAGTGGTTCCACTGCCTGCCTTGCAAGCACAAGGACCTGAGTTCAATCCCCAGTACCAAAAGAAAGATTGTTGGTGAGCTGCCCTGAATATGGGAGCATTAGTATATCCAAGAAACTGGGCAGGAAGCTAAGCCAGGCCCTGGGCTCATGGCCAGATCACCCTCCGGCAGCAAAGACTAAGGTGGACTTGAACCAGAATCACAACAACCCTGACAGTGATGAATGGTTCCAGGCAGCCAGCTGACTGGGTTGGGAAGACTTGTAAAGAGTCCCTGTGTGATGGTAGTAGTTATAATAATGGCAGTGGTAACAGCTGTTGTGTATTGAGCAGGATATACAATAGGTTCTTTACATTTTTGTCTCATTGAGTCTTCCAGTTAACCCTGTGAGGTATTACATTCATCTAACAGATGAGGAAACTGACTTCGTTAAGTGACTTACACAAGGTCACCTGGCAACCTGGCACGGGAGGGAGAGAACCAGAGTTCCAGTGGAATGTGATCTAACCCTGGCACCAGGCAAGCTGCCATAGTTGCCACTTCAAAGCTCATAAGAACCTCCTGAAGAAAGCCACAGCTTTCCTCACAAACAGAGGGTAAATGGCTTCCTGCAGGCCACTGGATTGGAGCCAAGTGTGAACGCCAGATTCTTAACTGCCTCTTGCCTTGGAAACAGCCAGCCCACTACAAGCTCAAACCCAGTCTGGGCCACTTAGCTGCTTAGTGAGACCTTATCTCAAAATAAAAAATAAAAAAAGGGCTGTGGACATAGCTTATTGCCAAAGGCCCTAGATAAAATCTTCTCCTCCTCCCCTCCAGGGCAGCTTCTTGAGATTGGGCCCATTTCCCTAGGCCTCCATGTGGATAGTGCCTCTTGGCACCTGATCCCTTTAGAAAACGTACCAGCCACATGTGTTACTTTTTTGTTTATCTGTTTTTGTTGAGACAGGGTCTCACTATATTCCAGGCTGGGCTTGAACTTGCTGTGTAGTCCAGGTCTTAAACTCTCAATCCTCCTACCTCTGTCTCCCATAGTGCTAGGATTACAAGCATGTGCTGCCATGGCCCACATACGTTGCCTTTTGAAGCTGTGAGCTTCTCATGGTGCTGTGGGCCTGAAGTTTGGACAGGTGTCTTAGAGCTTAGGCAGGGTGATCCTCCCTGGGATGGCCAAATAGTGCAGTGCCCAACTCCTTCCTGAGCAAGTAATAACGTGGACTGGGTGCTCCATACCATCATTGCCCCCTAGTCTGTGTTTCATGGCCAACCCCAAATCTAGAAAGCTGCTTTTGGCTTGCAAGGACTTTGAGCTCTGTTTTCCTTGCCACATCCTTATTTGGTTGCCCATTGCCCACATGAAGCCCATTCTTCCCATCTCCATGCAGGTACAGCTGCAACTGCTGACAGCCATCGTGAAGCTCTTTCTGAAGAAGCCAACAGAGACTCAGGAACTGGTGCAGCAGGTCCTCAGTTTGGCCACTCAGGTGGGTGCCCTGGCTCCCATTGGGTGTCATGAAGCCCTCACTGTGGCAGGAGGAGCCTTGGTCCTGGGAGCCGTGTCACCCCGAGAGTGACATCTGTGGGGGTGGGCCTCAGAGTTAAGACACATCCAAATGAATGGGGTGAAGCGGTGTGGTGGGGACAGGATATAAATGAGGGTAAGGGGTGTTTGTGGGCACCTGCAGGTCTGCAGAGGGGCAATGAGGGCAGAGGTTGCTAGGAATGGAGACCAGAGTGGGTGTGGCCTGCCTAAGGCTGGGCTGGAGTAGAAAACCACAGAAGCCAACTACTGACCAGGATAAGTCTGACTAAGCGGTTTAGAGCCTGGCTCCTGGGTGCTTGTCAGCATGCTCAAGATGGTTGTCATTGCCACACCTGTGGCTGCACCTGATTGATGCGGCAGTGGGAGTCTCCTCCCTTCCCCCAGGGAGGAGTTCCACTGGCTTCTCACCCCCTTCAAGGACTCAGATAACCCAGACCTGCGGGATCGTGGCTACATCTACTGGCGCCTGCTCTCCACGGACCCCGTGGCTGCTAAGGAGGTAGTGCTTGCCGAGAAGCCACTCATCTCCGAAGAGACAGACCTCATTGAGCCTACACTTCTGGATGAGCTCATCTGCTACATCGGCACTCTGGCCTCCGTCTATCATAAGCCACCCAGCGCCTTTGTGGAGGGGGGCCGGGGTGTGGTGCACAAGAGCCTGCCACCCCGTACCGCCTCGTGAGTGCCTTTGGCCTGATGTGGGCTGCTCCTCTCACCTGCTCAGTGGCACAGGGCTGGGGCCTCATGTGACATCCCCGGGCAAGGCTTGAGTCTGAGGCAAGCTAGCTTTTTATCAATGCTTAACTACACACATGATGTTCACTAGCTGACTTTATTTGATCCTGTCAGCAGCTGAGAGATGTCCCCATTTAGCAGATCAGTGGGCACAGAGTCTGAATGACCAGCTCAGGACCCCACGGCCAGCAGAGCTGGGGCTCAGACCTGGTTAGGATGAGTTCAGAGCACTGTTCTCGCTACCTCCTTTGCTGCTCCTCAGTAGCTGGCTTTGGTGTAATGATACGGTCCTTGAGCACAAGCATCAGCTTTCTCTTCAGCATGGGTCCAGGATGTGAACACAGCCAGCCCCTCCCTTCACTCACCCCACAGGGAGTCTGGAAGATGGGTCATATGTGAGAATGAGGAGGCAGAAGGGGTCATATAGACAGCCCCTCTGGGACAGCGAGGAGACCCAGTGTCTGTCCTGGGAAGTATCTTGGAGACTAAGGTCCTGTTCAACTCCCTGGGACATCCCAACACCCCCATCTGCTGACTCTTCCTTTCATGTCTGGCAGGAACGAGAGCACGGAGAGCCCCGAGACAGCCCCTGCTGGAGCCCCCATGGGTGAACAACCAGATGTCATCCCCACCCAGGGTGACCTGTTGGGAGACCTCCTCAATCTGGACCTTGGGCCCCCAGTCAGCGGCCCACCCCTGTCCACCTCCTCAGTGCAGATAGGAGCTGTGGACCTTCTTGGAGGTGGCCTTGATAGTCTGGTATGTCCTGGCCATCCCCACCCCTCACTGCCTGGATATTGATATGACCTCCAGGGGAGCAGGCACTGAATGCCCCTGACGCCAGACACCAGGGAAGGACGTTGGATGCATTACACTTGTGTCCTTGCATCTGCCATCAAGGTGATTGTGTAGCTCCCTGGATAGCAGTGAGAAAACTGAGGCTACGAGAGACTAGGCAGCCTTCCATTCCAGCACCAAGGGCCAGGGACAGTCTTAGCTCCTTCCTTGGGTTCTGGTTCCACCATTGCCTTTGGCATGTTTCATTGTTCTGGCTTTGATAAACTAAGCCTGTTTTCCACTATTGAAGACAGCCAGGCCTCTCTGTGAAAGACTGTGAGAAGTCAGGGCAGGATTCCATCCACCCCATAGAGAGGAGAGTGGCGAGCCTGGCCCAGGGGCCTCCTAGGACTGCTGCAGCAGTGGGTGGGGTGGGTAGAGGGACAACCTTGCCCTTCCCTTGGCACTGCTCTGCTCAGATGCCCAAGATGATAGCCCGTAAGCCAGCAGTCTCATAATCTGCATCACTAGGGCAAAGGTCAGAAGGGCAGTGACACAAAGCATGAGGGTGGTAGGGTAAAGCTGTGGAGGGACAGGCTCAGGCTCTCAAACCAGACTGTCTGACTGAAGCCAAGTTGACTAATTTTTTCCCTCTTTCCTTTTGTCTCTCTGTCGTCTTCCCTGCCTTTTCTCTCTGCATGTTGCTGCCTGTTCTCTTCACCCTGCCTGCTTCTGCTTGGAGATGGGGGATGACCCTGAAGGGGTATGGTTCAACCCTGTGTCACCAAGCCTTCCTCCCTGCTTGTCCTAGGAGTTTGGCTTAGCAGAATCCGTGGGGCAGGTGATATTATATTATTCCTTCCCTGCTGAGCTGTGGCCTCTGGTCCAGTGTTCTGGAAGCCTCTGCTTTGACCTCCTGGTGTTTAGTTGCCACTGGGTCCCCGTACCCATGAATTCTTCACTGTGTCCTTTTCACCCCATGACAGCCCTGGGTAGAGCTGATTGCCTTGTCATCCTGAGAGTTATGGGGCCTCTCCGTCCCACAGCTCCTCTGCTGGTGAGAGAGCTCTGGTCTGCTTAGCACATCCCACCTAACAGTGTCTCTGAGATCCCCTTTTTATCCATGGGTCAAGCCCTTTCCAAGTGGACACTGCCTAAGGTACAAGGCTTGTAGGGCATAGGAAGGCTCAGCCTCTCTCCTCCACCACCCACCTCTGTCTTGTTTCTAGAGGTTATGTGGCTCTACTCCCAGGCCCCTGATGTCACTGCTTCTGATACCTACCTCTGACCTGTTTTCCTTCCTTTCTAGATTGGGGACTCCAACTTTGGGGCACCCCCAGCAGCAGCACCTGCCAGATTAGGAGCACCAATTAGCAGTGGCTTGAGTGACCTCTTTGACCTGACGAGCGGCGTGGGTACCCTGTCAGGATCCTATGTGGCCCCCAAAGCAGTAAGTACTTCACTTCCTCTCCTAACAAAAACGGAAGTTAGAGACTAGTGTGTGGATTCTTTTAGTGCTCCATGCCAGGGAATCAGCTCAGGCCAGAACTGGGCTGTAGCAGCCAAGGAAGAGGAGTTGAACCAGGCTTGAGGGCCTGGGGTCCCTTTCTCAAAAAGGGCTTACTGAGCACAGTCCTGTGAAGCAGTCAGAATTAGCTGAGCAAATTCGGGCAGAGCGCTTCAGACCTAGGGAAGAGCTGTGGCAGATCCTAGAGGGAAAAGTGCACCTGGCCTTGTCAAGGCACTGAACAGGGCAGTGGTTCTCCATTCTCTCAGACCCAGCACTTTAGTCACAGGGGATATTTTACAGGGCCTCTTCTTGTCCCCAGAAGAAACTGGTGAAATGTATAACAACCTGTGTGCACACAGAATTTCAGAAATAATCAGGTGCAGTCTCTGTATGGAGACGAAAGAAAGAATACATGTTTCAGTGTTGTAAATGGGTACACACTGCCCCTGCCTCAGAGACATGCTGAAGTTGTCACTGTGACTATGACAGCTCCAGATAGTGTTAGTAGCTCAGGCACCATAAGTAATGTGGCCATTGGTGCCATTAGTTTCTGAAATTTTGACTGATGCCCAATAAAGTTCTGAACAAGATAAAACATGGGCTCCCCCTGAGTTACGGTCCTAGAACATCGTAAAAATCGTATAGGAAATGCTCCATGGCCACAAGACAGTTGCTTATTATAGGGGCTATTGTTCGCCTGGCAGAATGCCCAGTATTTTCTTCTTCTTCTTCTTTTGGTACTGGGGATCAAACTCTGGCCCTTGCGCTTGGGAGGCAGGCGGAAGAACCACTGAGCTAAATCCCCAGCCCAAAATGCCCAGTATTTCTGACTCCAGCTCATGAGACATAATGCCCCCCCATTGTGCCCCTTGGAGGATGTCCCACAAGTACCTACTGTGTTACCAAGGGTAGTGCCACCCCTTGAGACTCCTGGCTAGACTGTGAGGGAAGGCACAGCGAGGTCCACAGAGCCAGGTCGAGCATTTGCTCTTGATCCAGGCACTGCAGAAGTTAAACTGAGTGATGAAACTGTCTGACTTGCATTTGAGATGGCTGACTTTGGCCTGGGGAAAGGGAGCCTCACAGGGAAGAATGGGTGCTACTGGCTACCTGTGCAAGGAGGACAGCTTTGGGGGTAAGGTCAGAGGCTGCGCTTGGGAGGTAGGAAGGGAAGGACATGGGGTGGGGTTGCGGTTCTGACGTGAGACTTAGGGTGACAGGAGCTGTCAAGTTGGGGACCCTGGAGGAGAACAAGCCGAGGGGAGAGCTGAGTTTGGATGTGAGAACGTATAACCCTAGGACTAAGGAGAACAGAGAGTGGGCCATGTCGTCAGCATCGAGGAAGCTCTAGAGGGAACAAATCCTCTCACAGTGCTCAAATCAGAAGCCGCATCTGCCAGAACTCTGCTGTCTTTTGAGGTCCCCTCCCCAGAGCAAGATGCAGATAGCTTCAGGGGCACAGGGGGACATGTGAAAAACCTTGCCCTTTCCTGACCTGGCTCACCCACGGTGGTATGCCAGCTTTACTGCAGTGGTGACACTTGGCCCCCAGAGACCCACAGGAGCAGCCGCTCTGATACTAACAACAGCTGGCTGCATGCCGGGCAGGACCAGCCTCGTGTTGCTGCTCTTCCCACTTTACATTTGAGGAATTTGAGTGCTTTTGCTCACAGTCACATAACTGGTAAGTGAGTCCGGAACTGAGTGCAGGCCAGTGATACCAAAGCTTCTGCTCCTAATCTCTGTGTGATTATGCCCAAAAGGAAGACCCACCAGTAGGCCTCAGTGTCATGGGTTGTCAGAATCAGTAGGACCTGGGGACAAGGGACATGGTCTGATGTTAACCACGATCACTTGACTAATGACCACACCACAGCACACGGCTAAGCCCAATATCATAAGGCAGCTTATAGTGGAGGACCAACAAACTCCTTCAACACATGTTGCTTCTCTTGCCAGGTGCTCAGAACTGCCAGGAAATAAAGCTGTAAGCTGGCTCTCGGCAGGCTGGCCTTTGGCTTGTGTATTGCTCTTAACAGTTTGCGTCACCACTTTGTCCTTAGAGGAGGGCCAAATGAGTGTACCTGGTCAGCAGTGAATGCCAGGATGAGGTGGGAGGGCCTTTAAGTCAGGACTAATGAGGGCCAGCTGCCTGGAGGAGGAATCCATGCAACAGGGGCAGGACCATCCCCACCGCCTTAGTCACAGCAAAGCTCAAGGATGTGTGCACTCTCCCTTCAGAAGCAGTAGCAGGTTACCTATGTATCCCCGGCAGTGCATTTCCCACCCACCTTGAGGCAGGTACAGCCTCCATTCCTCCTGGTCAAGGGAGATGGACTCCCTGTGTACAGAACTTCTGAGTTCTTCCAGCATGTAGGTCAGTGGCTGGTGATTTGGTTTGACCAGTCAGCAATAAGGGTTAATCTTTTAGGACCTACACAGGACTCTGTAAGCCCACAGCGACCAAGAGCCACAGGGTTTCCACCCTCAGTGAGTAGGGTCAGGCACAGAGGACTCAAAACTAGTTCTACAAGATCAGGAGGAGGCCCCATGGGGCTGGCTCTGGAAGATGTCTAAGGAAGCCAGGCCCAGGGCCAGGTTCAGCAGACACACCTCTTATCACAGCCATGAGCTGAGGCCAGGGTTTCCACCTGTACAGACTTGTCCAGAGGTACAGAGGAAGCTCAGATCAGCCAAAGAAATGGGCAAGGAAGTGCATTCCAGGGTGAGGGAATGGTGATGTAGAGTCCCAAGGAACAGGGGCCAGCCTAGGCAAATCAGGCCTGGAATGGGTCCCAGGATGTGGAAGTCTATGCAAGGAAGGAAGAGGTTCCCAGGGTCCCACGATCACATTTACGTTTTGCAAGGTAACTAGCTGTTGTGGAAAGTGGAAAAGAGGGTTAGCCACCTCTGTGGAGCTGTCATACCTAGAGAGGCCTGGCGGCAGCTTAGGCACCATGTCTGTGGAAAAGGAGGGAAATGGAGACCCTTGGGGCAGATGTAACGGGTGACATTACCTGGCTTTGGGCTAGTGACTGCAGCATGGGGGTGGTTATGGATACTGGGGCACTTGCAGCTTTGGGGTAGGACTGGAGCCTTTTTTTTTTTTTTTGGTGCCAGAGATCAAACTCGGGCCTTTGTGCTTGCAAGGCAGGTGGCAGAACCACTAAGCCAAATCCCTGGCCCCTGGAGCCTTTTGATGTTGAAAGGCCTGTGAGCCATCCAGGGAAGAGTAATGGCCTGAGAGGTGTCCATGGGGTGACACTCGAAGGTATTCTTCAAGGCTAGGATGTGATTCCTGCTGTTTGTTCAGCAAACATTTCCTAAACACTGGCTCCATGCCAGGCCCTCAGCCAAGAATGTAAAGTCAGAAAAGTAAAGCCATTCAGTCTAGGAGCAGGGGAGACACATGGGCTCCTGTTTTTCTGCCCTGCCCTGATTGGGCAGTAAATGTGAGGAAGGAGGCTTGGTGCAGACTCCTTGGAGGAGGTGGCGCTTGGGTTGAAACTGTTAACAGCCAGGCGGCTGAGGGCCTGCCACACAAGATGTCCTCTTAGGTACTGTCCTTCGCCAGACTAGTTTCTACAATGAAAGATCCGCCCTTTCTCCTGCAAGGAAGGACAGGCTGTGACAGCCAAGAAGGTTTTGGGCCCTGGCCAGGGTCCAGGACGATGTTGGGCACTTGGCCCTGTCTTTGGTTCAGGAGGCTGGCAGAGCTCCCTCGTCTTACATCCTTCTCAGCCTTCCTTCCTCAGCATTCCCTTCTTTGTCCTCTAAAGACTGGGCTCACGAAGCCTCACCACCCTCAGGTACAATGTGGAGTCACACCATGGTGGTAGCCTGTGTGGTCCACAGAGCTTTCTTAACCCCTCGTGGTAAAAAGCATGTGTGGTCACTATGAGGTCCCTTCAAGAGAAAGAAAAAGGACCCCCAGGTAAGCTGTTGGGCTTGGGCTGAAGGAAGAGATCCACACCAGCCCTCTCTGTTCTCTTCCTTGCAGGTCTGGCTCCCAGCCATGAAGGCCAAGGGCCTAGAGATCTCAGGCACCTTCACGCGCCAGGTGGGCTCCATCTCCATGGACCTGCAGTTGACCAACAAGGCCCTGCAGGTCATGACGGATTTTGCCATCCAGTTCAACCGCAACAGGTGAGCTCCCTCAGGCCGGATCAAGGAGAGTCCTGTCAGGCCTGTAGATGGGCTGTGGTTGCCTAGGGCCTAGTGCCTCTTTTCTAGAGAAGGTGATGTTCCTACCACCCTCAAGCCAAAACTCTCTACAGCAGTGATTTTTCCTTGTGACCTCTCTGTGTGGAGTCCAAAGTACCTCTGGAGTAAGGAGATGCAAGATCCCTTGCATTTGCCTTCATATGTTGCATGGGGGAGTGCTGAGACAGAAATCCCAGCTCAGATCATTAACCTGAGTTCAAGTCCCGGTCCATCCTCCTGAAAGCTCAGGCTTCTCCCAGGCCCAGTTTGTCCTGTGTTAGGGAGCAGCTGAGAAGGCAGGTGGGAAGTGGGCTTGCCTGCCAACCTCCTTCAGGGGCAAAGATGACACCTTCACACAGGGCCTCTGTGAATGAATGTTGGCTGCTCCAATGTTGGTCAACATCCCTCTCCATCCCCCACCTTGTGTGTCCTTGGGGAAGTCATCTGCTCCATAGTGGATCAGGCTGCCTGGGCCAGGCCTCCATGGGAACCCAAGCAGCCCCTCCTGATGATTCCTTCTTCCTGAGCAGCTCTAGTGATGAGCAAACTGAGCCTCTAAGAAGTTGACTGAAGGGGCTGCTTCCTCCAGGAGAGCCTTAGGTCCAGAGTGCCATGACCTTTGTACAGGCCAAGGAGGCTGGGACAGTTGTGCCACTTCCCTTTGGAGGACCCTAGGGGCCACAGATGGACCTCAGGCTACGAGGAGAGGTCCTGATGATTGCTCAAATCAAATCTTCAGTGTACCAAATACTTCCTGGATACCAGACTCTGCTAAAGCCTTTGATAGGTCATGATATCTGGACTCAGGGCCATGGTCTTGCCCAAAATCACAGGAGGCCTGGTAACACTCCTCAGAAGTCCTGGAATGCTGAGCCACATCAGCCCCAGGTTTTGCATATAATTTCTCACTGTGCCAGGCAGGTCTGATTGGCCTGTGGTTAAAGAGAGCACAGCTGAGGGCTAGCTCAGTGGTTCCACTGCCTGCCTCGCAAGCATAAGGACCTGAGTTCAATCCCCAGTACAAAAAAAAAAAAAGCATTACTGGGGTCAGGCAACCTGAGCTCTTGATTTTCACCCTGCCATTTACCCTGGGCACAAGCCTGTCCTCCTGGTATCCTTATCTGGGAAGTGGAATGACGGGCAGCTGTCTCTGTTTTTACAAGTGTAGCAATTGGCATAACACCATGTGCCCAGCCTGGGCGTACTGAGTGCTCAATTCAAGTCCCAGTCCGTACTATTGTGACTTACCTTTCAAGAGCCTGTGGCTGGGCATCTCTAATCTTAGACTGAGATGCTGATCGACACGGGAGGCCTGAGCATCACAGAGCTTTTAATTTAGAAGAGTATAGTTCAGTCTCCTGGTGTTAAATGAAGCTCCTCAAGGGCAGGCAGGGCAAGACTGTGCTCACCTGGGTCTGCCTCGTACCCAGCCCAGAGCAGAGATAAGAGCAGAGCCCAGCTGCAGACTGGGGCAGAGTAGCCAGCTCAAGGCCCCTGACTCCTGTCCACATGGCCATAGCATAGGGTTGGGGGTTACCAGGAGCTCATCCTGTCCTGGGCCTGGAGCTTGGGCAAGGCTGGTTTGGTGGAGAGGGTCCTTGCCCACCCTTACCTCTGTTCCTGAGCCCAAAGAACTCACTTTTCTATGTCAGCACCTACTCCCCACCCTCCGTGGGGTCTTCTCTCTCCCCAGCTTTGGCCTGGCCCCCGCTGCCCCTCTCCAGGTGCATGCACCACTCAGCCCCAACCAGACTGTGGAGATCTCCCTGCCTCTTAACACAGTGGGCTCAGTCATGAAGATGGATCCTCTCAACAACCTCCAGGTGTGTACCAAGAGGCCAGACACCCCAGTTCTTACCAACCTCAGTCCTGGGGGAGGGGTCCAGCTTTGTCAGCAGAGAGCCAATCTGTGGAGTTCTGTTCTTGGCTACAGATGTTTCAGGGGAGCCTCAGGCCATAGGAGACAAAGGGATGTGGCTCCAAGGGAGAGTCATGTAAGAGATTCTGCTTGGGTACATCTTTCCTCGGACCTCAGAGGTGGTACCAGTCTAAGAGTCCAGGGTACTGAACCCTAGGGACTGACCGGGGACGCCCTTGTGCCTAGGTGGCTGTGAAGAACAACATTGACATCTTCTACTTCAGCACCTTGTACCCACTGCACATTCTCTTCGTGGAAGATGGGAAGATGGGTGAGTCTTGAGGGAACCCGGGACTCTGTAGTGAGCTGTCTTGGGAACCAGACCAGAGTGCTGCCTTTACTAAGGAACAAGTGAATGGCTTTGTTCCACAGTGGGCTTCTGCAGAGCCTATAGTAAGGAATGTACCTGTACCCTCAGCCCTGTCTCATGGGGTGCTGGGGATCAAGTCTTGTCACATGCCTACTGCACACTTCTGGGGAGCGGCCAGGACCTGGAGAAGCCCTTCCTCGGGATTCAGGGAGTACTTGGCTCAAGTCATTTCCCCTTGCCACAGCCGTCCTGGGAGGCATGCATGACTAATATGCAAGGCTGCTAGTGCCAGAGCAGGAGGAAGGAGTCTGTGGGGACGGGAGGAGAGAGGCAAGAAGTGGGTATTTTAGGGAGGCCACTGAGCTCCTTCTCATAGAGCGGAGGAGTCTTGCTCGGGGAAGCGAGGGGGATTATGGGGAGCTAGTACCTCTCCTCAGCTTTTAGTCAGCACATTAAAGACTAGACCCATTTCCTGTCACATGTTGTTAAGGGCGCACAGGTGTATCAGAGTCTAGTCTCTCACCCTTACCCTACTCACCCTGCAGACCGGCAGATGTTCCTTGCCACATGGAAAGATATTCCTAATGAGAACGAAGCCCAGTTCCAGATCAGAGACTGTCCCCTCAATGCGGGTGAGGACTCCAAGCCCTTGACCCCAGCCCCTGGGTCCACACTGGCCCTCACCTGTGTCCAGCCCTGCCCCTCACTGACTGGGGTGTCTGACCCCACAGAGGCTGTGAGCAGCAGGCTGCAGAGTAGCAACATCTTTACCATTGCCAAGAGGAACGTAGAGGGCCAGGACATGCTCTACCAGTCCCTGAAACTGACCAATGGCATCTGGGTTCTGGCAGAGCTGCGGATCCAGCCAGGCAATACCAGCTTCATGGTGAGAGCCCCTGAGCCTGTGTCCAGCCCTGGAGCCGCCTCATCCCGTCCTGGATAGCCTCCTGCCCGCACTTCCTTCCCAGGCCAGGGACTGGCTCTAATAGGGTTATTATGCCAAAGATCCCTTCGAGCCTGGTATGAGTGACCAGTTCTGCCCCTGAAACAGACCTTTCTGGAAACTTTCAGCTCACCTTCACCAAAGTTACCCAGATAAGGCACCAGGGATCTGCCTAACTGGCAAGTGGCATCTGGGCACAGGCCCTGAGACCTGCTGCCATATGAGTGCCTACCTATCTGGCTGGGAGGGCTTTATTCCCAGCGGCCCATGATTCTCAGCGTTTGAGTCAGACCCTAGTCAGGAGAGAGCTTCCATGAGGTTCCTGGTTTTCCTGGAGGTCACACTGCACTCCCTAGCCCAGAGATCCCCAAGCTTTGCTTCTCCCTTGCACCCGAGTCAGGTAGGCATGGCCTTGCAGACCCTGACTCCCGGGGACCCTGCTGGCCACCCTGGCACTGTGGTGGGTGGGGGCTGCGCCAGTGGCTTCGGTGGTGGTAACTTCCTTTTCCCTGTGTTTGGTTGCTGCATGTTCACCTTCCCTGCTGGTGCCTGTGTCGTGGTACAGGACTTGGAGGTTAGCAGATTGCTTTTCTCTTCCTCTTCCCCCTCCATCCTCCTTAGCCATATTGCACATGCTCCATCTCCTGGCCTGGCCCCAGTGCACCCCAGCTTTCCCATTGCACCCCATTTCTTGATCTCACTTTACTTTTTGGCCCCCAAAGCTGGGCAGATACACGTGCAGACCTTCCCGCCAGGTGGCCTGTGAGGAGTTGACACCCCCACTTCCACATGCAGTGCACGGAGCCCTCTAAAGAGGCCAAGGCCACCACTTGAGACCACTGCCACTGACTTCGGGACTCATTAGCACCCTCTTCCTAATTGTATCTTTTAGAAGTGGTGCTTTTGAGTGGCAGGGGTGACTGGCGTCTCTTTGCTAGGAATCTCAAGGCTCAGACCTCAACATAGAGGCGGAGCCTAGGGTACCTGCTGCCTGTGAGGGGAGCAGGTCCAGTGCCCCTCACTATCTCCCCAGCCCTCTGCCCCTCAGGGTTTCCTATCGGTTCCATCATGAGGACCTAGGACCTCCAGAGGCGGGGGGCTGGGCACTCCTGGCAGCCTCCTGCCTGTGAGTCACACTGCCTGCCAGTAGGGCTCCGATGGTGGGGCTGACAGCAGGTGTGTGGGCCGCAAATATATTTGGTCCCCACCCAGCTGGCTGCAGCAGCCACCCCTCTGCTCTACCTCACATCTGCCCCAGGCCACGTGTGCACGCCACGCTCTTCCATCTGGCACCCGCCTTATTGCTTGCCTCCCCTCTTCCTGAGGAGAAGCCCAGGGATGAGCATTCTCTCACCCCTGCCCTTTCTCCTCCTACAGCTGTCCCTGAAGTGTCGAGCACCAGAGGTGTCCCAGCACGTGTACCAGGCCTATGAGACCGTCCTCAAGAACTGAGGCCCATCCTGCGCCCTCCCAGCCTTCTCTCGGCCCCACTGAGGAGCCCTGGGGGTGGCAGCACCTTCCTCGAGGGAGGGGCTGGGTTCTGGCCACCCAGGGGACTCCTGGTCCTGACTGCAAGGGTCTCAGGACCAGGTGGCGCCCCTTCTGGGGTGAAATCTCAATCACACCATGCTCCAGTTGCCCCTTTTTCATTGCTGCTGATGTGTGGGTCAGGTGAGGAGGGGACCAAAAGAAACAGAACCAGAGCAGCAGCAGAAGCTGGGTAGAAGTCCACAGGGTTCTCTGTCTTCTCCCTGTGCCTAGGGGTGAATGTGGAGCTCTCTCGGGCTCCCAGCCCCACAACCCCTGCCCTGGCTCTGATTGTTTCTAGAGCCTCCCCACTACCACCGTGAATGGGATGGGCCCTAGCAGCCTGTCTGGGCTGGGGAGGGTCTCTGGGTGCCAGGAGAGCTGCTTTGTTAGGGTTGGGACTCAAGGGCCACAGATGTCAGAGGGGCGGATCTGAGTCGGCAGGAGCAAGCGCCCACATCCCACCCCTGAGGATGGATACGTTGTTTGGTGACTTCTCGGCCAGCCCAGGGCTGCTGGAGCAGAGACAGGGCTGAGGGATGAGGTCCTGGCCAGGCTGTGTGCTACCTGTATACGTGTCTGCGGGGTTTCTCCAGCATCCCTCTCCCTAGCTCCCCAGTCTCAGTTGTGTCTGACAGCTTGTTAGGGTTTCCTGTCCCTGCTGTTTGATAATAAAGAGATTCTGCTTTTGGCAGTCAGTGGAACCTTCTTTCCCTCCACAAAGGTCAGAATCAAGAACTGCCTCCAAGTGGCCAGAGATGTCATCTGACCCCTGCATTACCTATATCTAATATATAAATAGAAAATATATATTGTATGTTTACTCTTATTTTCAAAAAGGAAAAGAATAAAAATAATGACATGAGGTGTGTCCCTGGCAAGTGTGTCAGGTCCTGAGGCTTTTCTGGGCAGAGATCTGGATGCGAGCTGTGTGCCCAGCGTTACCTCTGCCGCGTAACTCTGGTCACAGTGTCTTCTTGCCATCTTGTCCTGGGGAAACTGACTTCTGAGCCCTGCTGGTCTCCTGGCACCTTTCTCTCCATCGATCCCAGCTCCTACCCTGAAGCTCCCTTGCCTTTTGTTGCTGGCAGGAAGGGCTGGCATTCCCTCTTGGCCTCTCCACGGCCCTCGCTGGGAGCAGCAGGATGGGGCGGGGTCTCAGCAAGCCGTCAGTGAGACCCCAGTGGCAGCAGTCTGGGCACTGGCCTTGCTCCTGGGGGAGGGCAGCCATACCTAGCAGAAAAGCTGTCTTAGCGAGAAAGGCCTCGGCCTATTCCTCAGGAAGGAGCAACCCATGTCATTTGGCCCCAGCCACTCTTCTCTTCGCTCTGCAGTCAGCCCCCTGCACCCTGCCCACCTTAGACACCCTACTGCCTGCCCAGCTGCAGTGAGTTGGGAAAACAGAGCCTGCCTCTTTGCTGGGCATCTGGTCCTTCACTGCACCAACTCCGATCCCTGAGCTGTCACTGTCCTGTCCTGGGACCAGAGTCCGGAACCAACCAAGGCCCTTGGTTGTGCAACCCTGGTTCTTCACCTGGAAGTGTGGGCTCAGGAGCCCTGGGGGCAAAAAGAGCTGGAGTCCCCACAGCCAGAGTCCCTGCAAACCGGAGGAACAGGGTGCTACACCCTGGAAAAGAGTGTCACCCTGGCCTTTTGTGTCACTTGCCTCGTTCAGGCTTCCTGTCCCTCCCTCTCCACTCCTGAGGCCAACAGAGTAGAAATATATGATGCCTGTGCCCACTGTTGGGCAGCTGGAGGCCCAAGGCAAATGGCCTGTTTGGAGCACACGGACTATCACTAGACACCTTGGCTTCGCCCAGTCTGCCTATGCCCACATTCCAGGTGATGGTGGGTAGAATTACCTCCCACGCACAGCACCCAGCAAGGGGGGGACTCAGCAATTAAAGAGGCTTAATATGCACAGGAAACCTCAGGCGCCCCGTTTCCCAAGTCTGGGGCACTGTGTGACCTTTGCTGCATCACTGCACCAGCAAACAAGCATCCAGGGCCACCCAGGCCTTTAAACGAAGTGCTTTAAGGGTATCCAACCATGCCCTTCCATTTCCCTGCCCCTCCATGTGCCTCTTCCCCTCAGCTCAGGTGTCCCTGCCACTGGGCCCTCGGCGTCCTGAAGCTTGGGAAACTTCCCTGCCTCTTGAAAAGATTCATCTCAGCCTGATGGTGGTACATTCCTGTAATCAGAAGCTGAGACAGGATCACTGCAAATTTAAGGTCAGCCTGGGCTACATAGTGAATTCAAAGCCAGCCTGGACTACAGAGCAAGATTTTGTTTCAAAACAAAAGGATTTAGCATCTTGGATCTTCCCAGACAGCTGCATGGAGCAGCAACATTTTCTGGAGGCTCCTACAGATACTCAAGGCCTAATAGGTTCCCCTTGAGTGCCAGTCATTGCTAAGGCCTGTGCTACTACCTCTCTTCGCTTTTTTCTTCTGTCTTTTGAGACAGGTTTTGCTATATAGTTCAGACTGGCCTTGAACTCACTATGTAGCCCAGGTTGGCCTTTAACTCACAGTGATTCTCCTGCCTCGGCCTCCCAAGTGCTGAGATTATAGGCCTGTGTTCATCTTGCTTATTTAATTACTTATGGGGAGGGGGTAAGACAGGGTCTTGCTGTGTAGTCCAGGCTACCTTTGAACTCACTATGTAGCCCAGGCTAGTCTCCAACTTGTAGCAATTCTCCCTCTGTCTCCCAAGTGCTGGGATTACAGGTGTGTACCACCTGCCTGGCATCCTCTTGCATTTTTAAAGCTTTAGTGGTTTGTGTTCATTTTTAGGGAGAAAGTGAGTCAGGAAACAGGTCTGCCATACGTGGGATAAATTTCTCCTGCCAACCCTGTTTTCCTCCCTGGAGGCAAAGGTTGCTCCTAGATTTGGATTTTTTTGTGGTACATGGGATAGAACTCAGGACCTTGCGCTTGTGAGGCAGGCACTGAGCTAAATCCCCGGCCCGGGATTTGGGTTTGCAAAGGCCTTATCTGTCAAGAATGTCTGGAGCTCTTTCCCTATCCCCTGTCAGTACGAACAGACCCACTGTAATATTTTCCAGATAGACGGGCCTCCCTGAGCCAGTTCCTGCCAGTGCGTGAACAGTCAGGATGGTCCATCTTCAAGGAGTCCCTGTAATGCTGCAGGCGGTGTGTTCCCACATCCATCCTTGTGAGGGCACAAATCCAGCTGTAGGGTCTAACTACAGAATGGGTGCACCAGAGGGATAAACAGTTCGCATTTTAAATTGGAGCGCTAAGGCTAGGGAAAGGATGTATTCAGTAGAAAAGCACTTGCCCTAGCATATATAAAACCAAACCAAATAAGCCCAAAAGAAGAGACACGAAATTCCCTTTTCCCCCAAAGGAGATAAGTGTGGTGTCCCTTTCCTTTGCACACATATGGTAGTGCTGTTCTGCACTGTGCTTGTATCTGCACTGTGTTTATGCATTACAATGTCAGTGTGCCTTTTTTCTTCAGACAGTTGTGTAATGTTCCATTCAAACTAGTGCCCAGCAGTGTGCACAGACTTGTCTCAAGGTGGTGTTGGTACAGTGATCCTGCAAAGGATCCTTTATCGTGCGCATGCAGAGATCAGTTCCACAGTGCAAGGATTGCAGAAGCAAAGCGAGGGACCTTTGTAATCTTGGCTGCTGTTACTAAAATGTCCTTCAGGATTAAAACTGGACCCATATCTTTCCCTTTGCACTAAACTAAAATTGAAGTGGGTCATCTGCTGAAAGTTAGAACTCTTGAAGACATTGGTCTAGGCAAAGACTTTATGAACAAAACCCCAACTGAAGTATCACAAGGAATATCATAGGAAATATCAGAATCAACAACTGGGATCTCATCTTAGTAAAAGCTTTTGCACAGCAAAATAAGCCACCGACAGAGTGCAGAGACAATCTACAGGGTGGGAAAAAAAAATTTGCCAGCTACTCCTCAAAGGCCTGATATCTAGAACATATAAAGAGCTCAAGAAAGTCAGACCCCGAAATTTAAAGACCCAGTTCAGAAATGGACATCTGAAAAGAACTGATACTTCTCATGTTAAGAAATAGAAATGGCAAATAAATATATGAAAAAAACAGCATCACTGATCATTCAAGAAATGAAAATTAAAATAGTGCTGAGATCCCGTCTCATTCCAGAATGGCTGCTTTCAAGAAACTGAACCCCTAACAAATGCTGGTGGGGCTGTGGGGGAAAAAGAAACCTTTCTCCACTGCTAGTGGAACCACTGTGCAACCACTGTGGAAATCTGTATGGAAATTCCTCAAAAAAGCAAACCTAGAGGGCCGGCGATTTAGCTCAGTGGTGCTGCCACCTGCCTCACAAGCACAAGGTCCCAAGTTCAATCCCCAGTACTAAAAACCAGAGGTTCCATTCAACCCCAGCTATTTCCCTGCTGGGTGTCTTCCCAAGAGAATCAAAAACGTCGTACCACAGCATTATATACTTACCCTTGTTTATAGCAGCACAGTGTGTAATATTAAATCTTGGAAATACCCCCAAATGCCTACCAACTGATGAATGAATGAAGATGTGGGTTTTTTATACAATGGAGTACAACTCTGCCATCAAGAAGGATAAACTTGCTGGATGTGGTGGCGCACGCCTGTAATCCCAGCACTCGGGAGGTTGAGGCGGGAGGATCACTGTGAGACCAGCCTGAGCTACATAGTGAGTTCCAGGTCAGTCTCGACTACATAGGGAGACCCTGTCTCAAAAAACCAAAAAATAAACTTGAGGCATTTCTAGCACCTTGATACTTTTTTGTACCAGGGATCAAATTCGGGACCTTGCTGGCACACCACTGAGCTAAATCCCTGGCTTACACACCTTGAGACCATACTCTTAACTGAGATCAATCGGACACATATTTAAATACCACATTGTTTCCCTGGTGTGAGAAACCGAAAGTGGAAATAAGGACCAAAATGTATAATACATATTGAGAAAGGAGAAGAAAATGTTCAAATGCGAAGGGGAACAAGGGAGGGATGAAGAGGAAAGGAAAAGAGGGACAAGGAAAAAGAATGGAAGGAAAAAATGGAAACAAAGCTTTTGTAAATGAGGGGAAGAGTGGTCGAATGTGGGGGAAGGAACAAGATATGTACAGGTGCAAGTTCCCTATAATGAACGATACAGATACGTATCATACCAATAAAAAAGTTTTGCTTCACTGGGGGTTTAGATCAGTGGCTCTGCCGCCTGCCTTGCAAGCGCAAGGTCCTGAGTTCCATCCCTGGTACCAAAAAACAAAATTTTGGGGGGCTTCAATACACAAATAAGCTGTCCTTCAGGTGGCACTCTCACCACCAGAACTGAGCTTTTCCATGCACTTGCAAATCAGAATATTACCAAACCTAGCAGGTGAAAAATGGCATCTTTTTAGTTTGTTTGGCTGTGGGTTTTTTTGGTACTGGGGATCGAACTCGGGTCCTTGCACTTGGCAAGGCAGGTAGTGGAACCACTGAGCTAAAGACCCGGGCCGCATCTGTGTTTTATGTTTTTCTGTATGTTTTTGAGCCATTTGTCTTTTTCTGTAAACTGTCATTTTTTTTCTTCTTCTCTCTGTGTTTATTGGTTCTTGCTGATTTGTCATTATTTTCCCCCATTTTGTTACTGCTTTTTTTACATTTCTGTGCTGACACTGGGTCTTCATGCAATCTTTCTTCATGACTTGTCTGGTCTTAGTGCTGCATCTCATTCCTGGTCTGTCTGAGCTGTGTAGAGGAGTGAAGTAGGGATCCAACTTTTTATCTTCTTCTCTCCCCCAGATGGTTGCCAGGTTGTCTCTACACCATATACTGAATAATTCATCTT